CCTCAGAGCTTTAATGGATTTCTGTAACTGGAGCCTGTAGAAGAGATTGACGAGTCGTCTTTCAGAATATTCTTCCTGCGATATTTATGTACAGTAATACAATTTTGGAGCAGACACAAATCTAACTTTACTTTGGAGGATTGTGCTTTGAAAGTTCACGTACGCCAGAGATTAAATGAAGTTAGTTTCCACAACAAAATGAAAGACAGCTTCTTGGATTATGATCACAAACCTGTGGTTAAGATTGTCGAGTGTCGTTCTCTGCGATTAACAAAATGTCATTGAGGTGCGAATTACAACAGGTCATGAGGAGTATCAGTGAAATCAACAATGTTATCTTGCTTAACGAATATGCGGAACGGGTGGCCAATCATTTGAGGGTCCGCAAGTCGCTGTGCAGAGTTGTGTTACTTTTCGTGCCAAAAACCTAATGATCGAGGGTTCGAATCTCGGTTTGTCCGGTTCATTGTTCTAATCCGTCTTCGTAGGCCTCAACGGCTAAAAACTGCATCACTTCCTGTATTAAGCCGACACGCAGTGATATAACTGGAAGTACTGTTCAAAGCGGCGTTAAACCAGACTTACTCATAACACCATTCCTAAAAGGACATTCATCCAAAATATGCTGTGTGCAACGGTAATGCATTCTTGGTGTCATATGCATTCTTGATGTCAAGAGAAAACGATGAATCGTCCCTCGTAAATTTAATTTCAATTGTATTATTTCTGAACGTGGGAGGCCACAGACCTATGGAACTATTTATTTACCATGTTGAGTAAGAGACTAATGTTACCGATATTTTGTTCTGTACAGATGTGCACGATAGAAATACAGAGATGATTCTTAAAGGTTTTTTTTAAAATAAAAATAAATGTGTATGTATTTAGATATACAATACATTTAGATGGTCCAACTTAATTCTAAACTGAGACTAGAGAGGACATAGAAGCGGGAAAGATACTCATCTTCAACTCTATTCAGGTTACACAGTGTGTTCTCGCCTTCCTAAGCATATCGGTGTATCATCATCATTGAAATACTGATAGAGCATGTCTAGCTGTTTTAATTTAAAGCGACAAAACCCTTTTCCATAGTCTTAATAAATCTCTGCTAAAAATACTGTCAACAGCACGATACCGATCACAGCACGATCATGTAACATTAAGATCATACAGACACTGATCTGTATCAATATGTGCTTTTAACATTTCATGAGATACAGAAATTATTGGTTGAAGATAAACATTGACACAGGTTCTGCAAGTACATATCCTTTAGCCTTCGTGTGAATATTAATAAAATGAGAATTAGATTTTTTTACATATATAGCCATATGTAAATAATAGTTGTCTGACAACATAATTTCTGGGTCCATTTAAATCCTAAGTTACAACATTTTATAACACAAATTTTGACACCCCATGGGTGAGATATTCAACATCTGTAACCAACATTTTATGTCCTAATATAAGTGTAGATTTACACTGGTTACCTGTTACATCTATCACATACCATACCATTTTATGCATTTGTTTTTACCCCAATAAATATTTTACAAGCATAATTTCTAATATGTCAAATTTGTATAATCCTCATCCTTTTGCCCCATAATAATATTGGAAATAAGTATATATGCGTTGAGTTGACATATGTACAAAAGTCGCACATTTTTAGGTGTCAAATGATTCTGTGTCAAATCGTTAACATGCGTACACTTTTCGCGAACACCTAGTGTCATCGCTGATTGTCATTAAGCCATTTTAATAATGTTCACTTTTATATCGCCTTTTATGCCACTGGAATCTGTTTCGTTGAATAATCGAGATTATCTGGCGTTGATTTAAAATATTTGTTATTGTTCAGCGGACATAATTCTCACTTTCAGTGACGTATCGGCAGGGTAGGATTCCATATGGGTTCTAGAGTTCTAGAGATACATCGCTTTTTAAATTGTCTACAAACTTGCAAAAAGCAGAAGAGTGGCCGGTGCTGCTGACGGAACGTAGATGAAGTGTGAACGAATGTAGTTACATTAGAATGTTGGAAATCTATTTGCGCTAACAACGACGCGCATTCAACGACGGGAGAAGAGTGTATACCTCAGGAGGAACGTTTGTCACCCACATTATATTGGATTACAGTCTTAAAGAACAGTCAGTGTAGTAATTGGATGTCGGTGTCCGTGATGCATTACATGTGCAGGACCTGTCTGGCATTACACCGGTGTGTGTTGTGTTTATTAGAGGACTCTATGTTGACATTCGATTTATCAAAAATGGACCCAACAGGAAAGAGGGTGATAAACAGTTCCTTGATTCGGGAACCAGTGATTTAGAGATTATCTCGAGCAGACTAGCACGGTGTCATCCCGATCGGTCGTATATATAGTTAAGAATAAGAAAATAGTGGTTGAGTGCTCAGCACACTGTATTAAAGCATATTCGACGGATCAGCCTATCTGGCGATTATTACCACAAAACTGAGCATTCCGATATTTATTCAGTATGGGTGTCGAGACAAAGAAAAGATAGTGTCTTGGTGTGAGCACGGCTTTATTCGTGGCAACTGGATTGTTTAATTAGCACCTAGAAGTTCATAGGACTTTATACACTTTATTCCCACACGCCCATCAAATTTGCAACGGAATCCGTGTAAATGTTGGTTCTCTGCCTTTTATGAGTACAGATTTTCACCTTTCTTGTGTACTCAAAACCTCCGTGGTATAAATACAGGTATCTGCTACATCTGGAACTTGGAAGAATTGCAACTGCTCCCATCGAATTCGCTATTGTTTGTAATGTTGGCGTGATATTGTTACTTTAAGTGTTGAAGAGGTCGCCTTCTGCCTTTGCAATTTCGCCTGGCCTGTCCCTCTTTGGGACTCGTGTGGAAGTAGAGTACACATATCTATTGCTTGTTTTCGTGTTGATAACGTAACTTTTTTCTCATTGATATGATTTCAATTTGGATTTTTAGAAATTTATAGAGTTTCTTTGGCAGCTCTGTTTATATTCGTTCGGGTAGCTGACCATATCTCAGAAATAGAGTTAGTTTGGCCTTTGCTATCGCATATCTTGGCTTTAGGAGATCTACGAAAGATAACGGACACAAATGTAATTGTTGTTCTAACGAGTCCGGGGGACACGGGTGGCCCAGTCGTCTAAGGCGCCGCGATTCGCTGTGCAGAGTTGCGTCCCTTGGACACGCCAGAAACCTATGATTGTGGGTTCGAATCCCGGTTCGCCTCGATTATGTTTGTAGGTTTGTCAGCACCATACCCGTGCTCGTGGGTTTCACCGAAGTGGTAAACGTCTGAGACCTGCATCACTTCGGGCTTTCCTCCCACATTAAGCTGACACGCCACTGGAATACTGTTAAAAGCGGCGTTAAACCCAACTCACTCACTCACTCTAACGAGTCCGGGCTGGGGCATGGTCTTGACATTCCAGTTACAAGTGATCAAGGGATTCAGGTTAACTGCAAGATGGACATAACTTGTCATGGTCAGAGTTTAAGGCGTGAGATGGTTACTTCAGCTTTCCTGTTATTTGGGTATTAGTATGGCTTTTGGTAGATTTGGAGTTGAATCTTACTTGCGTTCCATTGCATGTTGAATTTTGAAACATACGAGACATTTTTATACACACAATACAAACAATAGTGCCGTGCATCAAACGACCTGTTTATACTCACGCTTTGCCCTTAAAACACCAGATGTTCTAACTGCAGGAAACTGCTTCTCAAGTTTTTTTAAAAACAATAAATTGGAGTACTCTTCTTTAAAAACATACACTAAAAAGATGTAAATATAAGCCATGTTTTAATACTACAGGAAATTGATTCTCAAACTAATTGAAAACAATAATTTCCTTACTCCTTTAGAAGCATGTGCTTAAACCCAAGCTCAATTAATTCCGTGGATGTTGTGCACTGCTATATTGTGAGAGAGCACCGAATCCATACCTCTAATATGCGGCGGGCGTACATGTGATCTGCCATCATTTCCTGAATTTATTTTGATGTCGGAAAGACTCAATGTCACTTTGTGCAGAGGATGCTGTTATTATTATAATTGCGATTACAGTTACATTTAATCTGGGGTTATTACAAAGGCATGGTATATACTAATCATGGTCACCAATTATTTCACAATCTAACCCCACTTTGTGTGTTGTAAGTCGGAGGCTGCCGAAACAGTAGTTCTCCGTGTGCATGGAGATGTATAGTTGTGAATAGCTACAGGGGAGAGGCTAGCCCTGCAGACCTTGTGGTATGATGGACATGATACTAATGTTGTATAATACGCTAAAAACGACCCTGTACATCACTTTGATAGGAGTGTAATATCCACAAAGAGCTGTATAACATGATACATCTTAACATCTATGCTTTGCGAGCTTTTTGCCAGGCTGTATCCTAAGGGCGTTGAGATAATTGAATATTTGAGAAGCCAGTCTCTTTCTACATACTTGTACATAGGTATTGTTCTTACACCAGCGATACACTGGTGATACGTCGGCATACATACAGAATGAAGGTAGGAAGCAGTATTATATCAACTGCATATAAACATACAGAAGGACCCGTTGTTTGGGATCGTCTCCGTGGTCTAGTGGGAAGAGTGTCTGCCCAGAGAGCGAGAGGTCGTGGGTTCGATCCCCGGCCGCGTCATAGCAAAATACGTTTAAAGATGGTACTTGTTGTTACCCTGCCTGAGGCACCCCACCCGTTGCCCCGTATTCCCCACTGTCCGGACAATTACTTTTTGAAGGACCTTTAGTGATATCTGAGGAAGTTTGTTTTTGACAGATTTGTACTTGTAGCGTCAGTGTCCGGATATATGGGGTTCGCGGTGTGTATTGTGCTGACTCATCTGTTGAAATTGTTAGTGTTCTAAGTTGATTATACATTTATTAAATCAGCACCAAACATGGAACCTTTTAGCATTGCACGGCATCTCCGGATATCAAACTTACCAATTGTTGTTATTTCTTTGCAGATTTCTGACAAAAGCTTGACCCTGCAGAGAAGTCAGGGGAATATATGATGAGCCAAAACGACGAAATGAAGCGGCTACAGTGTCTGCAAATGGAGGACAAAGCCCATGTACTTCAGGAAGATGATCCTCTGGACGCGGGCGAACCTGACAAGAAGGGAGTTAAGAACTTGCTCATCTATTACGCCCGCCATTCTACCATGCATGGCATCCCTTCTATCGTGGGGTCGCGCCTCTACCGGGGACGCAGGTAAGACAAGATCCGCTGATCAAATACCGACTGCCCGAAGCACAGATTATTTGGGGCGGTGGGTAGCCTGGTATGCGCTCGACAGAATCCGGATTCCAGTCCCATCATAGGAACAATGTCCGAAGCCCATTCCGTGTGTCCTCCGCTGGGGAATTATTGGAATAGTGAGTGAGTGAGTATGGTTTTACGCCGTCTTTAGCAATATTCAAGTAATATCACTGCGAGGAAAACCAGAAATGGGCTTCACACATTGTACCCATATGGGGAAGCTAGCCTGGGCATCCGGCGCGACGAGCGAACGCTTTACCCACTAGGTTACGCTACTGCCCCTTTTGGAATAGTGCTAAAGCGGCGTACAACCAAACTCAATTACTCATAGTCTATTTGTCCGCCTAGAAATATTACTCTAGAACAACACTTGGTAATATGTTATGCATTACGCGACATAATGATTGATAATTCCGGAAACTGCCATTTTGTTCAAACTCCTAAATGTGAGTTATGGACGGAAGAGTGTCTCGGAATACAACCTAACATGTCGGCCAATTAATGTAAAGTGAGATATTTTTATAATGGGCTACTTTCTAAGCTGCACAGCGTGTCCCTACATAAACAGGGGGATACCAAGTAACGGCAACAGTTCACCCCTTGATGTGCAGGGAACTACTCTTTCATCATTCATTTAAGGGGGCACGGGTGGGCCAGTCGTCTCAGGCGCCGCATTTCGCTATGCAGATTTGTGTCCCTTTGGCACGCCAGAAACCTTTGATTGTGGGTTCGAATTATGTTTCTAGGTTTGTCAGCACCATACCCGTGCTCGTGGGTTTCACCAAAGTGGTAAACGTCTAAGACCTGTATAACTTTGGGCTTTCCTCCCACAATAGGCTGACACGCCGTGATATAACTGGAATACTGTTAAAATCGGCATTAAGCACAACTCACTCACTCATTCATTTGTTGGATCTGTCGTTTCCCCATTATCTAGCGTGAGTGAGTATGGTTTTATGCCGCTTTTCGAAATATTCCAGCATCATCACGGCAGGGGACACCGGAAAATGAGCTTCACATCGTACCCATGTGGGGAATCGAACCCGGGACTTCGGCGTGACGAGCGAACGCTTTAACCACTACGCTACCTCCCCGCCCCCATGATTTAGAATGTTGTTTTGTGTACTGCGATGATCACTTAAATTAAGTTGTGTTGGGTGAGCAGAGCTGCGTCCCTTACATGCCAGGACTTCGCCTCAGACCACAATAATTTCCATCTTTGCTGACTACAGCGATATTTTACACTATTTTATATCACTCCAAGGAAGATTTCATGCTGGTTCAAACCCACCTGACGCTTATCTTTTACACTGCAACATATCAGTATCGATGCATCATCTAGATTTCGGGTCGTCTTAGGCGCCGCAATTCGCTGTGCAGAGTTGCGTCCATTGGGCCCGCCAGAAACCTATGATTGTGGGATCGAATCCCGGTTCGCCCGAATTATGTTTCTAGGTTTGTTAGCACCATACCCGTGCCCGAGGGTTTCACCGAAGTGGTAACCGTCTGAGACCTGCATCACTAAGCTGACACAAAGCTGACACGCCGTGATATAACTGGAATACTGTAAAAGGCGGTGTTAAACCATACTCACTCACTCACTCACAATCTAGATTTCGGGGTAGCCACTGTCAACCCATTTCACCGGAAGCATCGCGCCTTTACACAACTATCGAACTTCATGCTCAGATTGTGGACCAAACACATGTATCTGCAGAATACTATCTAGTCTTTCATGTAAGCTATCGCATGTCACTCAGAAATGGCTGACATGTAATGAAAAAACAAAGAAACACAGCGCACGCTATTCCCCGAATTTCTTTCCGGGTCAGTGACAAACAGTGGGGTAACTGTGGTGTTAGTCATGTGCTGGCCATGGGTTCCATCTACAGATGGCACTGGTTATAATCCTGGATCTGTCAGCAGCGGTAGTGGTCTCACCAAAGTAATTATCATACACGAAATCCTCCACTCCGTGCTTAGGCAGACTCACATGATTGAAATAACATTCCAGGCGTCGTTATCTCTAGCTCGCTCTCACTGTTGTGTAACATCTGAAGAAGGGTCACACCCTAAACTCATGACTGCTATCGGTGTTATTACTGTCAGAAGTCTCGGCAAACCAACGATTACATCCCTAGACAGTACATTCCCGGTATGATACGTTACTGCAATAACACAGTCTACCATTTGGGATATATTGACCAGACATTTCTTATATTGCGTGGTTGTAGTCGAGTTTCAACCGAGGCAGAACTAGACAAGAACCGGAGTGAACCAAACGGGGATTTACAAGATATACAGCGATGTAGTCTCTAAAGCAAGGTATTGCCCGTATAGCTTCTTAAACACCAAACATTAGAATCCTCCATTTCTAAAACAAATTACAGTGATGTACGTGGAGCCAGAATAACACAGTGTTCTGTATGTGTGGAGCCTTTTGTGTGTAAAACCAACGTGTCAGGATTGTGTGTGTGGAGCCCGCATGTCAGTATTGTGTGTGTGGAGGGAACGTTTCAAGTTGTGTGTGCGGAGCCAGCATGACAGTGTTGTTTGTGTGGAGCCAGTGGGTCAGTGTTGTGTGTGCGTAGCCAGCGGGTCAGTGTTGTGTGTGCGTAGCCAGCAGGTCAGTGTTGTGTGTGTGGAGCCTGCATGTCAGTGTTGTTTGTGTGGAGCCAGTGGGTCAGTGTTGTGTGTGCGTAGCCAGCGGGTCAGTGTTGTGTGTGCGTAGCCAGCGGGTCAGTGTTGTGTGTGCGTAGCCAGTGGGTCAGTGTTGTGTGTGTGGAGCCTGCATGTCAGTGTTGTTTGTGTGGAGCCAGTGGGTCAGTGTTGTGTGTGCGTAGCCAGCGGGTCAGTGTTGTGTGTGTGGAGCCAGTGGGTCAGTGTTGTGTGTGTGGAGCCTGCATGTCAGTGTTGTGTGTGCGTAGCCAGTTGGTCAGTGTTGTGTGTGTGGAGCCAGTGGGTCAGTGTTGTGTGTGTGGAGCCTGCATGTCAGTGTTGTGTGTGCGTAGCCAGCGGGTCAGTGTTGTGTGTGCGTAGCCAGTGGGTCTGTGTTGTGTGTGTGTAGCCAGTGGGTCAGTGCTGTGTGTGTGGAGCCCGTATGTCAGTGTCGTGTGTGTGGAGCCCGTATGTCAGTGTTGTGTGTGTGGAGCCCGTATGTCAGTGTTGTGTTTGCGGAGCCCGCATGTCAGGGTGTGTGTGTGTGTGTGTGTAGCCTGCGCGTCAGGATTGTGTGTGTAGGGGAGGCTGCCTGCCAGGGACGTGTGTGTAGAGCCTGAGTTTCAGTATATTTAAGGTACTTGGTTGAATTATCCCACACCATATTCGCACTTGAACTGATTGTACAGACGTAGTTTGTTTCCTCTTTTACCACTGAGACTGTGAACTTGGTTTAGTGGTGTCCAATCTTCTTTGTACTTCTCAAATACTTTGTCTCTCATTTCTTCACTAGAATGACGATAGTGATATTCATTATCCATTGCAATGAAGTTATCCAAGACTGTCTCTTTCTATTTTCTTGGGCCACATTAACACTTTCCTGGATATTATGTGTTGTTAAAGAGATCTAAAGCGTTCATGGAACTTGGATACGTTCTCCCACTGGCATGTCTCCTGATACAGAATTGTATAGCGCAAAGTTTCTTAGACCTATAAAAACCCTCATTGCCTTATTTTTAACTTCATAAATACTCAAGAGGTTATAGGTTCCACAGTAGTGTCGTGTACGTACTGCATGCTACCCAGGATCTACCACGTGGAAATCAGGAGCCCCAATGCCCTGTTTTCCCGACTCTTTGCTGCTTGTCCAATCCCATCTAAATGTTCTGTTAGCAGCAATCATAAATTGTCGTAAAACTTGCAATGGCAACTTTAATCGGCGTTATTATAAACAAATGTGCCTGTGGCTCTGTAGACGGAAGGTTTCCGAAGTGGATTAATCTGGACTTTGTTGCATTGATAGCGATTTCATTCTCCAGTCACAAGCATTTGAGGTTATCGAGTATTAGATTAATATTTTCTTCATTATCCGCGATTAAAATGATTTCCTCTGCTTAAGCTAAATTGCCCAGATTTCGATTGTCGAATATCATTCCATGAGACATCTGAATAACAGATATAATCAGATCATTAAGGAAACAGTGAATAAAAGGGGAAATAATATGTATCCTGTCGCACTTCACGTCGATCCAAGGCGCACACTGGCCGTTTAATCCAACGCAGCATTTGACGCCCTTATACAGTGAAGTAACTGCATGAAAAGAACCTTCAAAGAATACCAATAATTGAAATTTCCATAAGCTATTTTTGTTCATACCAACACAGACTGTGTTCCAGGGTTGTGCGTGTGGAGCCAGCGTGTCAGTGTTGTGTGTGTGGAGCACGCCTGTCAGGGTTGTGTGTGTGTGTGTGTGTGTGTGTGTGTGTGTGTGTGTGTGTGTGTGTGTGTGTGTGTGTGTGTGTGTGTGTGTGTGTGTGTGTGTGTGTGTGTGTGTGTGTGTGTGTGTGTGTGTGTGTGTGTGTGTGACGCCTGCGTATCTGGGTACCTGCATGTCAGTGTTGTGTGTGTGGAGCCAATGGGTCAGTGTTGTGTGTGTGGATCCTGCTTGTCAGGGTTGTGTATGGAGCCTGGGTGTCAGGGTTGTGTGTGTGGAGCCTGCTTGTCAGGGTTGTGTGTATGGAGCCTGCATGTCAGTGTTGTGTGTGTGGAGCCAGTGGGTCAGTGTTGTGTGTGTGGATCCTGCTTGTCAGGGTTGTGTATGGAGCCTGCGTGTCAGGGTTGTGTGTGTGGAGCCTGCGTGTCAGGGTTGTGTATGGAGCCTGCGTGTCAGTGGTGTGTGTGGAGCCTGCTTGTCAGGGTTGTGTGTGTGGAGCCTGCGTGTCAGGGTTGTGTGTGTTGAGCCTGCTTGTCAGGGTTGTGTGTGTGGAGCCTGAGTGTCAGGGTTGTGTATAGA